AGGAATGCCTTGCTACATTAATTTTATTCTGTATTTTATCTGTCTGAATAGGTAATGCATACACAAAGTACAACACTCAAGGAGATGAAAAGGGAATACATACAGTGAAAAATGAGCTTCCTTCTCTGTTAACCACTAGATTCCCTCGCTGACAGCACTTGGTAGCTACCAGTTTCTTGTGCATCAATTCCAGAGAGAGACTTCCAGTGCATACAGGGGTGTGTGTGTGTATGTGTGTGTGTGTGTGTGTGTGTGTGTCCTTTAAAAATACATGCATACACACACATAGTTTTCTTCACATACTAATTTTGGAAGTCATTCCATATTAGTACAGCCTGAACTGCCCAGTTCTTTTTAACCCACTGCGTGGTATTCTATTATGTGGGTGTATGACAACTTATTTAATTAGTCACCCTTCAGTCTTATGCCAGTACAAATAATGCACTGAATATCCTGTATATATATCATTGCACACGTGATTTCTCAGGACAGATGATAGAAGTAGAATTGATAGGTCGGAGAATGTGTGCATTTTGGGGACAGATATTGTCACACAGTTCTCCAAAGAGCTCTATATTAATTATAAAATACAAAATGTAAGATTCTTTACCACTTGGTAAGCCCCCCACCACGCCAGTCCTCTAAGATCCTTGCCAGAGTGATCTTCCTAAATGAATTTGGTGTTGTAACTTCCCTGTTTATAATCCTCATAAGCCTCACGTGGTCTTCAGGATAAAGTTTAAACTTAGCCTAGCCCCTGCCTCTAGCATCTGCCGGGAGGGCTGGGTTCCGTTGCTCTGAGCCACTTGGACTTGGTGTCTCCGTTTCCTTTTCCAGTAGACACATCCTTTAGCAATCTGTTTAGCATCCCCTCCTGTGGGTAATCTTTCCTCATTCCTCCAGTCGGGCACGGAACACTATGCGTCACCCTGATCCAGCCTCATCCATTCACTGCAGAAGTATTTGTTGTGCATGTGCTGTGATGTGGCACGGGCAGGTGTCATCCTTGATGATCCATTGGTTCTTGCCTTGAAGGGATGATGACTGCCTGGTAGGGTTACCTGCTGTGGCTGCATGTACAAGGGCAGCACCAAGGACCCATTGCTAACTGGCTGGTGGCCCTGGGCATATCCCTTAACTTTTTGGACCTTGGTTTTGGCATCTGTCAAAAGAGGAGGTGAAGCCTGATGACCTCCAAGGTCCTCGACGCTCAGATCTTATTAATAATTACGTTAGCAACAGCCGCTGGTGTTTACTGAGGACTTGCTAAGTGCCAGGCACTGTGTTGAGCACTTTGATCCTACTCCTTACATCAACCCTGTGAAGATGATGGTATGGTTACTGTCTCCATTTTACAGATGAGAAAACTGAGGCTAAGAGAGTAATTTGGCCACAAGGTCATAACAAAGGAAATAGATTTGAATTCTGGCATTCTGACTCTACCATTCTTAGCCACAAAACTGTTTACACATGGTTTTGTGTACTGTTTTGGGTCAGTCACAGACTCCACCCCTAGACCTCTCCATGAACCATCCCTGTTCTACAGCCATAGAGGCTCAAGTTGGAATCTGGGTAAAAGCTGGGGACAGAGGACTGCTACAGTCCCAACTATTTGGGGGTAGTGGATAAAGACCCAGTGGATAGCTCTGTTCTTGAACCCCTGGCTCATTCTCATTGAAGACCCTCATAGCTGCTTTTCCTTTGGACTGAGACAATTCATATTGCTGTTTGAAGTAACTCTCTTCAGAAGGGGTGCATAGGCTTGAGTCAAGGCTTCATACATGGATTAAAGTCAGGTCTGGGTGTTATCCCTCAGGGGCATCCTTTATTAGGGTTGTAGATGGCAGGCTCCTTTATCTATTTACATAAAGCCTTGTTGGAGAAGGAGGTGTATATGGAATTTAAAAAGGAAGTGTAACCTTATTATTTGGAATACCTGTTATAAACTAGGATAAATGAAATCCCATGGGTTGACTAAAATATAATAGGCCTATATCATAGTGTATCATCAACCCTTCTGCTTCCCTGAAGGCAAGTAGAAAAAAATCCTGAAAAGTCTTAATCCCTGATTTTATTATTATTTTTTTAAGGTACTGGTTCCTGTTCTTCTTACGTCTTTGTCTGAGCTCCAGTGGATGGTGGGGCTAATTAAGAGTTACAGCCCGTTCTCTGCTCAGTTGTTGTCAAGTGTAGCCAACAAATGTGGGCTCTGGGGTCACAGGTGTGTTGGGTGAGCCTTGATTAATTAGTCCATTTTTGAGATTCGTGGCTGTGGAGTCAGAGCCAGATCCTCAGGGGCTCATCCAGCCAAGCCCCGGGCCCTTGGCTCCTGCTGCTGCATTCCTTCTCTCTAGGCGGTGTATTTCTCCCTTTAAGACATGTGTTCTCTATTTTTTTTTTTCTTTTCTTTTCTTTTTTCTTTTCGGTTAGTTGAACTTGCTCTGAGTCCGGTGGCAAAGGCAAAGCCAGACTCTGGCGTAGCAGCTCTGAGTCAACAGCCATCTATCTCTCTCCTCTTCTTTGCTCGAGCCTCCAAGGCAGGCAGCAGGGCAGAGCCACAGCAGTTTCTGAAAGCTCTGCCGAGCCTGACAGATCCCCAGGTGAGCCAGCGCTTGTCTCCTTGTCCCGTCGCAAGGATCTGGCGCCTGGATGCTGACGCCAATGGCAGCTTGCTTCGGGCCTTGGCATTTCCCCAGGGAGGAGTTGGAAAGCCGCTTATGTGCTTGTCTCTTCTCCTGGCAGTAGGGATTCAGTTGCTAGAATTCTTTCAACTTTGTATGTGATTATGGCTTCTTTACCGTAAAGTGCCTATTGAAACTAACTTATGACTAAAGTTTTCACTTATTTCCTTGTTTTTGGTTTGTTTTTTATAGGTGAATCTACCCAGGGCTGACTTCAGTGTTCTTACTTCTGGCTTTTAAATTTTTTCTTTTTAAAATAACTTGGACGGATGAAAGATGTGCCATGGCAGGATAGCACCAAAGAGCACCTCATCGTTTGCCGTGGCCTCCGTGGGACATGGAGTTTTCCTTCTGCTGGTGATTCTTAGCACCCTCCTTGGAGACGGACTTGCCTCAGGTGAGCCCCAGCCTGCCTCCTGTGTGTGGGAGGGAGAAGACTCAATACCATTGTTTCTCCTGAAGGCTGGGAGAAGGGATTCTCTGTGGAGCCGTTAGCAGGGGAGCAGAGGGTGAGGGCTTCTGTTCTGTTGGTACAGCAGGGAGCCAGTTGAGGGCGTGGGACTGGTGGCTGAGGTGCCTAGTGAGCCAGCAGGGGGCGGGGGTGTAGGAGCCTGGTGGGACAGAGGTGTAGGATTCAGGGTGCGATGTGCAGGTATGGGTGCCGGCTTTGGAATCCACTGCCTGTTTTCAGGGCCCAGTCCTGCTACTTGCTGGCTCTGTGACCGAGAGCGAGTCTCTACTTCTGTAAGCCTCAGTTCCCTCACCTGTGCTAGATGGCAGAGTTGAGTAATTGTGACAGACCATGTGGCCCCCAAAGCCTAAGATATGTACGCTTTAAGATGTTTGACCCTTTATAGCAGAGGTTTGCCACCTTACCCCCAGCCCAGAACAGACGGTGCTCAGTAAGAATGCCTATGAATGGAGTGGCTATCAGAGTAGGAAGGAAGGAAGGACTGACTGGGCAGAGCTAGGATGGACCTCAGAGGCTGTGCACTGGCCCAGGGCCTTAGGGCAGCTCACGGCAGTGCCTGGGCCAGAACCTCGCCTAGTGCCTGGTGCGCTACCACCACCATCCTCTTCCAGGGCTCTGCTGGGGAAGCGGTCCTGGTATGTTACATGGCAGTATGAGGGCAGAGCATCTGCCTTCAGTGTCTGATGCCTTCAGCCTCTTTAGCTCCATTAAGCCATCCCCTGTACACCGCCACTCTCTCTTTTATGGCCTTCCTCCCATTCCCCACCCCATTTTCCAGCTACCCACACCTTCCCAACTTTCCATTCAAGGTCTGAAATCAATTATCGGGGATCGATGCTTCCAGACTGGCTGAATAAAGGGATTATTATTTTCCAGTGTGGAAAAATATATCTGTAGTGTGGGCTCAGACCAGGATGGGAAAGTTGGCTCTGTTGTTTTCTTTCCCTCCCCCATCTGCAAAGAATCCTTCCTCCCCTTCCACCCCACTCCCTCTGCCCAGTCTTCTTTACTCTCCATAAAACAAACGTACTGGCACAGAGCAGGGTGCAGGCAGGGGAAGGGGTTTCATCATTACTTCGATCCAGTGCACCAAGTTACGATGTTTTTTCCTCTCTCTGGAGTGGCTTCTGGGGGAAGGAGGTGCCCACACCTTGGCCTGAGACCCAGAGCACACCTGTACGGCTGTGCCTGCCCTGAGCAGCGTGCCAAGCAAGCTTGCCAAGAAACCAAGGCTCTCAGATACTCTGAAGTCGAGGAAAGGCAATTCAGGTCAGGCAAGGTCCCCTCTTCCTTTTCCTGCATTTCTTACCTGCTCCTGTAGCTTCCCCTGAATACCCATTCCAGAGGCCTTTTTAAATGAGGCGCTTGTTACCCAGTGAGCTCTAGTAGATATGCTCGTGTGTCCCGGCACATTCGTGACGGTGAGAATCCCACGGGACAGAGGTCAGTGGGCACCCTCGGTGAGGCGTTGGCCTGCACAGTCTCTGGTCATAAGTCCCACAGGCACCTCTAGCCTTGGCTATAATTGCTCAGATTTAGAAAAAAGAATCACGTATGAAGAGGCTCTTGAGAGTTCTGGGGTAAAGTTCTGGGAAGAGTTACATATGTCATGTTCAAAGTTCAGTTTTCCATCCTGGTTCCTCTCATCTGCAGCTGGAGATTTGGAGTTACAACAGAGAAGTGGTTACGGAGGCATCGGGTTCCGCTTGCCCCTTGGTCATGCCTGTAGCAGAGATGGAGAGAGTTATTGATAAAGTTCCCTTTTTCAGGGTGGCAAAAGGAAGCATATCTTATTCTTCACACCTGGTCACAGCCTGCAGGGGAAGACCAGATTTAAAAATAAGATCTGTGCTCATGCTACCCAGCTTGCTTTTCTTGGACTAGGGAGGAATTAGGATCCCAACTGTGTAGTAGCCTCTCCCAGATCTCTCTCCTTAAGAGATCTTAAGGTCACATATCCCTTTACCTGTGACCTTAAGAAAGTTGCTGTGTGTGTGACCTTAGGTAAATCACTTGACCTCTTTGTGTGCCCTGTAAAACAGAAACAAGATACTTAAGGATGTTAGGTTGGTGTTGTGTAATAAAAATGATTGGAAGGCCCTTGACATATAAAAATGCTCAGCGTAATTCCTAAATAACAACAGCAGCAGAGACGGTATTTGACCTCCTGTTGAGTCATGTTGGGCAAGAGACTTCCTGTGGATGACGTCCTCTGCTGTCTTTAAAAAACACAACTGGAGATGCAGAGTCACTTATTGGGTTGGGGATGAGGGGCTGGGAGGAGGTGTCAAACTTGACCAGTTGAGGAAGGATTGATTACTTCCGGAATCCCTTTTGCCTTCCATGTTTGCATAGTTTGATGGTCTCAACCTAGCTCATGTAAAAAGCTTTTAATTTCCATTCTCTCCCTGTTCTGAGCATATTTATTGAAAAAAACTTAGTATTTTACTTGTTTCTGATTTGTTTTTCCTTTAAGATGTTGCCACACACTTAGCGGCCACGTTAAACATCACACAAGCACCTAAGCAGGGAAGGCAGCCATTTGCATTTCCGTGTGGCAGAGGGAGAAAGCCAGGCAGTTAGTGCTCACTGAAGATGGAAAATGTGGAGAGCTAGGCTCTCAGGGGATGATATGGCTTTGGCCGTTAGCACTGCTGTGGCAGAGAGAGATGTTGGCAGGTGGCCTGGCTCACCTCACGGTCTCTGAAGGGACCTGGAGCCAGAGGTAACATACACTGAACTGGGAAAAGAGAACAGGTAGGGAAACGATGCCTTTGGAGCATCACTTGTGTGTCGGGCTCTGTGTCATTACGTGTAAAGTTCTCAGAGTGCCTGTGAGCTAGATGGTCATGTAACTGTTTGACAAGTGAGAAAACGAGGCAGAGTGAAGTTAGGTAACTTGGTCAGAGACACTCAGTCGTAGGTGGGGAAGCGGGCTTGGATTTGCGTGCAGTATGTCTGACTGTGTTGCCCATGCTCTGCTGAGAACTGTACTACCTGTGCTGAGTGGCAGGCTTCTCTGAGACCTGTTTCTTGTGTTGCTCTGTTGGAGCACTCAGATCACCCTTCAGAGGGTAATTTTGACAGAGGAAGAGAGGCACCATCTGTTTTCTTCCCTGGATATAGGATGCAGGAGTCATCTCTGGGTTACCATGTTTACCTCTGTGGTTGTTTCTGTTCTTATCTACAGTGGCCCTTGGTGGGTTGGGTCCCAGTTTAGGCACAAGGTTTGCCAAGGCAGTTCTATTCTTGGAAAGGAACAATAGGGACCACAGCAAATTGTTTGCTAAATGCAGCTGTAGTTCCCAAAACTTCCGCAGAGCATCTTCCTGTCAGCTGCAAACCCTGCTGGCGTCGGGATGTAATCTCTCCATGGTGTAATTACCTGTGACTATAAAAAGACTTGGGGATTGTGGTAGGAGGCAGGATGGGTCATTACAGAGCTTGCTGAACCCTGGCGTCATGAAAAGACATTGAGAAATTACCCTCTGCAGGCGATTGTTGTGCCGTGTTTAGACCATTGCCAACGCATGGTACGAGCTTTGCACTGTAACTTTCGAACAAAAGAAGACAGGAGTCCACCAGACTGAACACCTCAGTGGCTCTCATCTGGGTGAAAGCCCTCGTTAGACACAGATTCCACCTACCAAACAAAGGTGCCCCACTACCCTATCCTTAATTGCAAGCTTAGAGGTTATCCTTACCTGCCCAACTCTTTCCACAAAAGGGGGTCACAGGGTGCTTAAAAAAAACAAAAGAAAAGGTCTTCCCTGGTGGCGCAGTGGTTGAGAGTCCGCCTGCCGATGCAGGAAACGCGGGTTCGTGTTCCGGTCCGGGAAGATCCCACATGCCACGGAGCGGCTGGGCCCGTGAGCCATGGCCGCTGAGCCTGCGCGTCCGGAGCCTGTGCTCCGCAATGGGAGAGGCCACAACAGTGAGAGGCCCGCGTGCCGCAAAAAAAAAAAAAAAAACCCAACTAGGGTTAGTGCTCAGAGTCTTTAATTATTCTAGGTATGTTTTCAGATGAATTCTTTGACCACCTCTTTACCCACTGGAGGTTCCTTTCTTCTGCATCACCCCAGCAGCATGAGCCTGCGAGGATGTGAGCAGCCCTCCCATCCCAGGTGGCTGGTACTGGTGTAGCTGGCTGCCTGGACTGGGGCCAGATCAGGAGTGACCTTGGCCCGCCACGTGTTTAGCTCTGGGGCCCGGAGGGACAGCAGTGTTTAGAGACAACTTTGCCATGGTGTGGTGTGACTGAGGGGGGCGCTGGCCGCTGGTTTCTCCCAGCCCTGTTCACCCAGTGCACCTTCAGCCAACCTGAAGCGTAAACTCTGAATTCACTGGAAGATGAGGGTGAACACTGCCTCTACGCCTATCTGCCTGTATTACCTCAGATAATCTTCCAGACATCATTGTCGATGTTCCCTAGAACAGGGAAGACACTAGATAATCTTACTTATTAATACACTGTTGTGAGGATTAAATAAGATAGTATATATAAAGCACTTAGGACATTGACTGGCATGCAAAGAAGTAATTCCTAGGTTTGAAGACCAGATTCTAGCACCAGTTGATACCATTCTACACTTAACGGCACCAAAGCTGATTAGCTCAGGTTGGAAGGAGCTCCTTGTTTCTTCCGTGTGTCTTGGATTCTCTTGGATTCAGTGCAGTACATCCTGAGCAGAGTTAGACACGTACTGCATGAGTTCTTCATAGTTCACAGGTTCCTAATTCTCAAATGCCACATGTTGGCATCTCACGCATGAAGCCAAGCAGAAAAGAGGGGCCGTGGCCCTTTGCAGTATTTGTGCTGAGGGGTCAGCTAGGACATCTCACAGTCAGCCCTTCCCTTCAGTGAGGCTGTCTTGTTGGCATCTCAGAGCTGGGATTCCTCAAAGCTGCTATTTGTTAGGAACTTT